CTAATAATATTAAAACACAGTTTGTCCATTTATGATAAGTAAACTAAATCAGTTAATTGAAATAAATTCTCAATTTGAATCATAAAAATATCAAACATTTAGCATCATATACAAAATAGCTGTAAATTATGCAGAAAATATGCTAAGACAATAAATACTCTGCGATGCATAAAAATGAGAGCTTTTTTAAATTAAATGATTCTATTAATTGTTTTTTTTTCTCCCACAAAAATCAAACACACATTATATTATGCTTGCCAGGGCTGCATTTATTTGATTAAAAATACAAATAAATATAGAGTTTTTTTCCTCTCTGGTTTGGACATGTTTGCTAAGTGTGACAAGATTTCACACTTCAAATTAATCTCCACAGAGAGTGGATCAGTCACGGTAAACTCAATTAGCCTGAATCAGCGGCTCTGCTCTAGCTCTGTACACAGACCACGATGTTCACAAGTTAAAATGAGTCTTTCACTGCTGCAGAACAAATATCATTAAAGATGAAAGACTTCATTAGTAGCATCACAACAGCACTAGCTCAATCCTCTAGAGGAATTTAGCTGATAATTTAATGCTGGTCTGGAATAGCTACAGTTAAGTAGAGTACAGTCTTACAGATTTTATCTAAAGATGCCTGATGTAATTCTAATACAAATAGAGACAGAAAATGGAGCGATAAAGAGAGAGGGAAAAATAATTTTCTGGTTATTTTTCTATGCATATTTGACATTTGACATGGCAGACAATTACCACCAGTGAAATGATGGACATTTAAAGAAAAACAAAAACAAAACTAAACTGTGTCTTTCAGTAACTGGAACTATAAATAAATATATACTTGCATAAATAGATAAATACATAAATAAATACATGCAACTCACTGATTAAATCAATTACAAAAATATTATAAAGAGATATTTACATCTTAAAACTGCCAAAAAGACAGAATTATTTATCCAAACTAAAATTACACTAAAAAAGTTCACACTGTATATTAAGTGCCAGTGAGAGCTGAAACACAGAGAGAGAGTGAGGAAGAGTGTGAACTAAACAATAAAAAAACCACACTCACCTGCAGAAGAGAGACACAGACACTGCAGGACACAGACAGCCATCTGCTCACTGTCCGCTGTCTCTCACACACTCACACACAGAACCAGCAGGGCATCATGGTCCCCGGAGAGGGCAACAGGCTGTAATAGCCCTCCAGTGTGTCACCTGAGCTCAGCTGGCAAACACAGAGGACCTGCTCTCAGCCCAACACACACACACACACACACACAGAGATACTCTCACAGATATAGAATCGTTCTCTTTCTCTCACACACACAATCACACACAAAGAAACTCTCACAGATATAGATTCTCTCCCTCCTGCTAAATGTAACACACAGTTATACAAACTCACACACATGCCAGTTTCACCATAATGGTTTCATAGATGCGATTTCAAATGACTTCAGACATCCCCAAAAGCCTATTTTCATTTTATTTGGACGAATTAATAGTATAGCCTCTTTTCTCTTGCAGATGTAGCTGTCCAAAAACCCCTGAAGTTGACACTTTTGGCCTTTCTTTAAATATGAAAATCACACATCCTGTACACTAAGCCTCTCTTCTCATGCACATTCTGTTTGGCAGCGTATGGTTTCTGGGACAGCGCAAGGCCTGGGAAACTCTGTTGTCCTGGACACCAAGAACTAGGCAGAGGGCCATTGCCACAACAACCCCTCTACTTGTGTTCGTCACAATATTTCAAGCCATTTTCTGTTATTGCGACTCTACTGAACTCTGAACACAGTGACTGGCTCTTTGGTGACCAGGAGATACTAAATGTCGGTTCAGCTGGGAATCTTTAGTGTCATGTTTTACAAGCAACACGTTACTTTCAGTTACTGTTTTCAATGTACACTCTTAAAAATAAAGGTGCTTCCCGATGCCATAGAATAACCTTTTTTTCTAAATGGTTCCATAAAGAACCTTTAACATCTGAAGAACCTTTCTGTTTCACAAAAGGTTCTTTGGGGCGAAATAAGGTTCTTCAGATTATAATGGTCATTAAGAGATGGTTCTTTAAAGAACCTTTTACTGAATGGTTCTTTGTGGAACCAAAAATGAAGCACCTTTATTTTTAAGAGTGTACATTGAAAACAGTAACTGAAAGTAACGTGTTGCTTGTAAAACATGACACTAAAGATTCCCAGCTGAACCGACATTTAGTATCTCCTGGTCACCAAAGAGCCAGTCACTGTGTTCAGAGTTCAGTAGAGTCGCAATAACAGAAAATGGCTTGAAATATTGTGACGAACACAAGTAGAGGGGTTGTTGTGGCAATGGCCCTCTGCCTAGTTCTTGGTGTCCAGGACAACAGAGTTTCCCAGGCCTTGCGCTGTCCCAGAAACCATACGCTGCCAAACAGAATGTGCATGAGAAGAGAGGCTTAGTGTACAGGATGTGTGATTTTCATATTTAAAGAAAGGCCAAAAGTGTCAACTTCAGGGGTTTTTGGACAGCTACATCTGCAAGAGAAAAGAGGCTATACTATTAATTCGTCCAAATAAAATGAAAATAGGCTTTTGGGGATGTCTGAAGTCATTTGAAATCGCATCTATGAAACCATTATGGTGAAACTGGCATGTGTGTGAGTTTGTATAACTTTGTGTTACATTTAGCAGGAGGGAGAGAATCTATATCTGTGAGAGTTTCTTTGTGTGTGATTGTGTGTGTGAGAGAAAGAGAACGATTCTATATCTGTGAGAGTATCTGTGTGTGTGTGTGTGTGTTGGGCTGAGAGCAGGTCCTCTGTGTTTGCCAGCTGAGCTCAGGTGACACACTGGAGGGCTATTACAGCCTGTTGCCCTCTCCGGGGACCATGATGCCCTGCTGGTTCTGTGTGTGAGTGTGTGAGAGACAGCGGACAGTGAGCAGATGGCTGTCTGTGTCCTGCAGTGTCTGCGTCTCTCTTCTGCAGGTGAGTGTTTTTAATATATCTTTATTACTAACTGGTGCAATTTGAAGATTTAACATAAAAAAAATCAAGTTCGTCATAACATTTGCATATTATCTCATCAAATTAAACTATTAAAACTGGCCTTGACCAGAATGTAAATAAAGATTATTATTCAAAAACTGGAATGAATATAAGAGCTTAGAAGGCCACTAGTGTGAAATCATTTCATCTGAAACCAAAAAGAAGAGAACGAAAACATCATTTTTTGGGTCTTCAAAAGGAAAGTACACAACCGAATAGGTCCTAGGAAAATGAACAGATGCTTTACTGATACCACCGAGAGCAAAATGATTATGGATGGCCTAAATAGCAAAATGATGGCAGGTTTGATTCATGATGAAGAGAACGTAATGACCGGCACAGAGGGACTGGTGCTCTAAAAGGCCAAGGCACAAACAATAAACAGCAGTGTATCTGTTGTACATCAGTAGTCTGAGATCAGAATAGAAAGCAGTCAGTAGTCAGAGAAAATCAGATAGCAGTTCTTACTTTCAGAGAGCAGGTGAATAATAGTAATGGGCAGCTGTTTGGTCTGAGATAATTGACCGTTTTTAATCCAAGATAAAGTGTATAAAGATATTAGCGGGCCGCTTTATTGGGCTGATTTGTGACTGATTTTTAGTTTAGCTGGTTTAGTTAAGGATAGTAATGGATAAGTGTTTGGACATCTGTGCTTAGTGACTAGTTTGAAATAAAAAGTTGATTGTAGTGTTTATTCTGGGATAATGACAACAGTATTTAGTTTGAGATCATGGATATTTGAGTTTGACTTGAGTTTAACAGTGTTTAGTCTGAGATGATGATGAGCGGCAGTGTTTAGTCTCATGATCGCAGGATTATAGGATGGTTAATGGGATAGTTCACCCAAAAATGAAAATTCTGTCATCATTTACTCAACTCTCATGTTGTTCCAAATCTGTATGACTTTGTTTCTCACAAAAGAAGATAGTTGGAAAAATGTCTCAGTGTTTTGGGCCCCATTGACTGTTCTTGTATGGACAAAAACATTCTTCTTTTAGAACAAATATCTTTTGTGTCCACAGAAGAAAAAAGTCATTTTCATTTGGTGAACTTCATCACTTTAAGCATCTAACATCATACTAAACCTCATTTTACTGCCTTGACCTCATCATAACCCCAGGCTTATAGCAGACAAGAGTAACAGAGAAGGAAAGAATGGAACAAAGAGAAGAAAAAAAACATCCATGGTCAAAATGACCAATAAATGAAATAACTAAAACTTTAAGAGTAATTGTTCATTTCCATTTTATGGCTTTTTTTCTCTGAATTCAAACTCTTTGTTGTTACAGGTATACAGATATTAGTACTATTTATCTCAAACTCTAAATGCAAGTTGCAAAATTTGATTTGTGCAAGATTTACTGAACATCAGTTTCGACATTGTGAACTGTAAAATAAATAATTAGATAATAAATGGAAGTAGATATGCAGAACCCATAACCAGGGGCAGGGTGGTTATAGTTAACTGAAACAACTAAAACAATAAAAAATGGTTTAAAATAAAAATGAACAGAAATAAAATATTTTAAAAATATTTCTGTTATGTGCCAGGGCAACATTTGTCATTTTCATTTAATTTAACTGGTTGCACAAAAAAAAAAAACTAAAACTAAAACCAAAATAATTTAATAATAATATTTTAAAAAAAAACACTCGCAAGTTTAAAATTAAAATGAAATGGAAAATATACAAAAAAAAATTTAATATAAAAAAACTATAGTAGTATCCAAGATGAATGATACTAAAATAACCTGGGGAAAAACTGACATTACAGACTGAATTAATTTTACAACAAAAACAGACAGTAAATTCACATTTGAACACTGAATGTACGCATGATCTGTTCAATGTGAAACCTTTTGGAAGATCTAAGTATTTGTTTTGGAGTAAAAACATTCAGTAAGTGTAACTAATAATTATTGTAATTTGATAGGTAAACTGGTCAATGTTAAAAAATAATTCTGCTGTCTAAGGATAAAGTTTGATCATTTCCCACAGTTAATTGACCCTGGAATGATCCGTGCGATTGATGTAGGGTTACCGTAAGGAAACTGTAGTTGTCATGGGAATGCTGGTCCTACGATACAGTGGCAATATTCACTGAGCCGGCAGTTTTATGTGCTGCTCACAGGCGGGATGTGCTCATTGGTTGGATTAAGGCCAGACACTTGAGGAATTCCTAACTGAGGCTCTGCTTTTGGTCCTTAAAACGGCTAGTGGCGAAAATATGACATGTCCCAGAGTGCAGTTCATGCAGACCAGAGTAAAAAGGTTTGTACAATCTGCAAAAGGAACTAAAAACGAGCTCAAGATGTGCTCAAACCCAAGTATTCAAAAGCAAGTGCAAACCGGAGGAGACGTCGATACATTTAGCTGCTCCGTGGATGAGTCATGCAGTCCATGCATATGAAAAGATGTGTAAATAGAAAAATAAATGTTTACAAAAATGGCATAGCATCTGTTGTGTTCTCCTCCCTTAAAGTTCCCAGTCAAACATAACCACACAGTCTCGATCTGCCAAGTGCGGTGTCTACCACTAGAGATAAAACTCATGCATTCCATGCAGTGCTCTTTGCTTTGCAGGGGTAAAGCGTGACGTGGATACATATTTAGATATGACGAGTATTATGTCTGTGTCGTTTTGTGCTGTACAGAGTCTGTAGTCTTTAGAAAGAGTGTGTGTCAGTGCATCTTTAGGGTGGTGTTCCCCACGCTCCATCGGAGTGGAACCCGTCTCCGGTGGACGAGGGTGGAACAGGTCCACTGGGTGTAAAGGGATCAGTGTCCGTATCCGTCTCGCCCTCAGCTAAATAGCGCCGGTCGCGGCCCCAGCTCGACCCCGCCGTTAACCCTGAGGCCTTGCCCGTGACCTCCTCTTTCTCGGCGGAGATGCTGAATCCGCTGGGCGAGCGTTCCAGCTCCTCGTGAGTGACCGACAACAGCGACAGTGGCGTTCCCACCCTGCGGCCTCCCGATTGGCTGACGTTGGAGGACGGGGAGTGGCTTGGCAGTGGGCTGATGGGCAGGACGGTCGGTCTGGGCGGGTTGGCGTCGGAGTGCGTGTAATGCGGCGTGTTGTGCGGCGGCGGGCCGTAGCTGCAGTACACATGGTCGCATGCGACGCTGACGGTCAACGTGGGGTCGCAGCGCTCCATGGTCATGTGGCCGGGGCCTGTGAGGTCATGTTGCATATGCATATCCACCAGGAAATCCAGTTTCTTCTCCATGTCTTCCACCTGTGAGTGAGGCGACGACAGAGTTTAGCACAACAACTTTAGCTAGGCCACACAACCAGCTGTCAGAGCGCAGTACCTGTCTCTCAACCCGCACAAATCTACCCATCATGCTTTGGTCTTCGGGATCTGGAAGGCTTGCTTTGGCAAGATATGACTCGTGTCTGAGAGAGAAAAATGGAGAGGGAATGTAAATCTGAGGAAAAGTGTATAAATGAGAATAGTTGCATCTAATTAATTTAATAAAAAGTGATACTAAATTATTAATAATAAATTATATATCTGCAAAGCTGTTTATTCAATATAGGGATTAATTAGTCATTATTATTAAATATTAGTGCTGTCAAATGATTAATCGCGATTAATCGCATCCAAAATAAAAGTTTTTGTTTACATAATGTGTGTATACTTATTATGTATATATAAATACAAATACATGGATAAAATATAATATCAAATATAAGAATATAAATATATAAATGTATATACATGTAAATATTTTCTAAATATATACTGTATGTGTGTGTATTTATATATACTCTACATAATAAATATACACAGTACACACATATATTATGTAAACAAATGTTTTTATTTTGGATGTGATTAATCGTTTGACAGCACTATTAAAAATGGTTGTGGTTTTATTAGGATTATGCTCTAGCAAAATAATAGTGTAGCTTTAAATATAGTGTTTAATATAGTTTTAAACACAATAAAAATATAAAAATAAATATTCCTTAAAGTTTGGTGAGCTTTTACCTAGGTGACTGCTGGGTGGGGTACGGAAATGGTGCTTTCTGGGGTTTCTTGTGTTTTGGAGTGAGAGGTGGTCCTGGTGTCAGTATCAGATCTAGTCTAAAGATGAAACAGCAAATATTAGATTATTTTACTCACAAGAAGATTATATGTTACAGTTTAAATGATGCAAGTGAACAATTTGAAATGGAAAAATGTTTGACTCATTTTATCATCGTGAAGTCATTTAAAAGTTTCCTATAGTATTTCTTTAAAATGTGCATGAGTGTATGTTTTAATGTGTGTGTGTGTTACCGTGTCTGTAGATATTTGATTCTGGTGAGCATGTCCAGGTGTCCTGCAGAATACTGCTCAATCACATCCTTTACATCATACGGCCTCAGAGTCTCCTTAAAACGCTTCTTACTCAAAAGGAATATTATGATCCTACAAAATGAGAGAAAAAAAGAGAAGTTCTTTAATGTCTTTTGTAAGTTGCTTTGGATAAAAGCATCTGCTTATTGTATAAATGTAAATGTAATGTTCACCCAGGCTGCATTTATTTGATAAAAATACAGAAAAAAGTAATTTCATGAAATATTAAGTAATATTAAGTAACACGTATTATTATTATCATACATAAACATACATTTATTAGTATGAAAACTGATGTGCTGCTTAAAATATTTGGAAACTGTGATAGATTTTTTTTTCAGAATTGTATGAAGTTCTAAAGAACAGAATTCATTTTAAATATAGATTTTTTTGTAAAGATGTAAAAGTACTTTTAGTCAATTTATTGCTCAATGAAAGAAAGAAAGAATTAAAGAACAAAAGAAAGAAAGAACGAACGAGAATGAAAAAATGTAATAAAGAAAAAGTGAAAAAAGACCACAAGTGGTTTTTAAAGGGGTCATATGATGCGATTTAAATGTTTCCTTTCTCTTTGAAGTGTTACAAGCTCTTGGTGCATAAAGAAGATCCGCCCAAATGTTCACGCAAAGAAAGAAGGCGTAACTTTTATTCTCGCTGTAGTATTGTTGCTGCCGCCATGTCGTGAAGGCGCTGTGTGTTTTGTTGTGAAAGCGAAACTACTTTGTTTGGTCTTCCAAAAGAGGACGATATCCGCTTCGTCATGCCTAGAGATGATCCGTGCTGGTCGCTGAGGGAATACATCAACTTTGCGCTGTGGATCGCCGAATCGGCTTTCACCGTGGACGAAGCAGAGTCCAGCCCGGGGTCGTCACATGTGGTTGCCACAAGCCCGCCGGACGCTCCTTCGTCGAATCCGCAGGCCGCTTTGTTCTCAAGCCCACCCGCCTCTGCTCACTCTAGCCCGCCGTGTGTTTCGTTGTGAAAGCGAAACTACTTTGTTTGGCCTTCCAAAAGAGGACACGACTACAAATCAGTGGTTAAGTTGTATTTACAACACTGTTCCAGAACAGTTCAACCCAAATATTCAGATGTGTGCAGCGCATTTTATGGAGGACTGTTTCCTGATCCTGGTAGAGTAGACTACAATGCCGGCTGTTCTGACTCACAGCCTGTAAGTATGTTTTTTTTATTTGAAAGAATTTGCCACTTATGATTCAAACACGAGTTTTGACCAGTGTAGAGTAGCACTTGTTGTTTGTAATTTCTCTGATCACAAATGCAGACATGGTTTTATGTTTATGCGGCGCGATGCAACGCAACATGTAAAAAGACAGTATAAGTCATTATAATCAGTAATTATGTCCCCACTGTATGCAACAAATGCCTCGTTTGTAATGGTTTTTAATGTTTTTGTCTCATCACTCCGGCCGGATAGGGCATCACAGTATGGTAAGGGATGTAACATTTCCGTCACACGCTTGAGGTATTCGACCAATCACAACGCACTGGATAGCTGGCCAATCAGAGCACACCTCGCTTTTCAGACCGATGAGCTTTGTAAAAATCAACGCGTTTCAGAAAATTTTATTTTTAGCAGCATCATATGACCCCTTTAAGGACACAAGATTTAATATTTGTGTACCGCAGCGCTCTTATGACTAATTTGAGAGTTGGGATCATCTCCTCCAGCAGTATGTCTGGTGGGAAGCCCTTCTCCTCAGGAGTGGGGTCAGGCAGACCTCCTGTATCTACAGTGAAACAACAAAACAAGGTTAGATTAACTGCATTGTGTAAGTGTCTACTATACTTGTGTATTTATAGTAGTATCTATTATTATAGTGTGTAAATTGCTAAGAGTGTGCATATTTATGTATATTGAGTATGCATATTAACTGTACAAGTACTGTGTACTGTTTTTCTAAGTATGCACTAGTTAAAAAGTTTAGTACTTTAAAGAAGTTCAGCTTTTAAAAATGCATCTTGAGTATGTGAGTGAGTGTGTGTGTGTGTGTGTCATACCCTCTGAGCTCTGTCTCAGGGCATAGGCCTTCATTCGGAAAGCAGTTCTGAATCTCTCTCTGTTACTGAACCCTGCTGGTTTGCCCTCTTTTGATGGACTCTCCTCAACCGCCTCTGCTGGCCCGCAGTTCCCTGACACACTTTCAGGATTGGCAGCAGGCATCATCACACGGGCCCTTACCATCGACGGTCTTGGGGTCGACAGCCGCACACGTTCCAACAAACTCAACTTCTGACTGAAGAAGAGACAGAATAACAGATGAGTTGAATCTCAGAGCTCTGAACACATTTACTTAATATTCCTTATCATTTGGTAATTCTTATTGAGTGTTCCTCAAAAGACAAAACAGTCTCTTTGTCTTATAGTGTCGTACAACACAGGTCAAGTTAACAAAATAAAAATGATTTTCATTGACATATGGTTTAAATTTTTAATGAAAAATATCTCTAACAGTATATATATATATATATAGGTGCATCTCAATAAATTAGAATGTCATGGAAAAGTTCATTTATTTCAGTAACTCAACTCAAATTGTGAAACTCGTGTATTAAATAAATTCAATGCACACAGACTGAAGTAGTTTAAGTCTTTGGTTCTTTTAATTGTGATGATTTTGGCTCACATTTAACAAAAACCCACCAATTCACTATCTCAACAAATTAGAATACTTCATAAGACCAATAAAAAAAACATTTTTAGTGAATTGTTGGCCTTCTGGAAAGTATGTTCATTTACTGTACATTTACTCAATACTTTTTTGCTTTAATTTTAAAACCTTTTGCTTTAATTACTGCCTCAATTCGGCGTGGCATGGGGGTGATCAGTTTGTGGCACTGCTGAGGTGGCAGGAGAAACTGAACCCTTCCAAAGAAACAACGCAGGGCATTCTCTTGTGAAGGGTCCCCAAGGACGGACACACACACACACACACACACACACACACAGTCTATGTGCTGCGGCACACACAGTATCTCTTGAGTACAGTGAAAAGAAGAAGATTGAAGTGGTGAGAGGGACCGAAACATCTTGAAATGCTCCACAATTACAGCTTATTACCAACTAGTTACTGATACAACACTTTCCCACACACACACACACGCACAAAACACAATCTGTCTACAGTCAATTCAAACTGTCTGAGAGGGTTTTAATAATTGAAAAGTGACTCTGTGTGTTTATGTGTGTGTGTTGTAGATTCATTGGACATACAGGAAAGCAGTGAAAACGTGAGAACAGACAGGAAGAGAATCAACGCATAGATTTCACATGAAAAAATGAATGGAGCAAAATGTCACAAGCTACTTAACAGTGTGTGTATGGTCCAGTTTCTCCATTTTGGACTTGTTTTAGTAGGTCATTGATAATGTCAGGCTGCAGGTTTCCCAGCCATTTGGCTTTGTTTGTATGTGTGTGTGTGTGTATGTATTTGTACCAGTGGGTCAGGTTTTGCTTACATTTTGGGAACAAAATGTCTGTAAATGGATGGTAAGACCTGAAATCACCTGCATACTAGACAATGTTTTAATAAAAATTTAAAAGTGCAGAAAGGTTGTGTGAAGCTTTGGCTTAAAGTATCGGTCAGGAAATTAAGTCATAAGGAATCAGGAATCTGATTCAACTTAGCAAGTCCATTATAGATTCTTTTACTGAGCACTTTTGAAAAAGCAGCTCTTCCTTTCAATAATTAGTCGAACTAAACAATAATGCTAAACAATGTGTTTTCTCGCAAACTTTTGTGTTCCTTAAAAATGTGTTTGTTTGCAAGACTTTCCCGTGATAAAGTTTGCATTTGCTTGCAAATATTTTGCATTCTCCTGAGAAACTTTGTGTTCACTTGCAAAACCATTGTGCATTTAGTAGGTCATTGATAATGTCAGGCTGCAGGTTTCCCAGCCATTTGGCTTTGTTTGTATGTGTGTGCGTGTGTATGTATTTGTACCAGTGGGTCAGGTTTTGCTTACATTTTGGGAACAAAATGTCTGTAAATGGATGGTAAGACCTGAAATCACCTGCATACTAGACAATGTTTTAATAAAAATGTAAAAGTGCAGAAAGGTTGTGTGAAGCTTTGGCTTAAAAAATAGGTCAGGAATCTGATTCAACTTAGCAAGTCCATTATAGATTCTTTTACTGAGCACTTTTGAAAAAGCAGCTCTTCCTTTCAATAATTAGTCGAACTAAACAATAATGCTAAACAATGTGTTTTCTCGCAAACTTTTGTGTTCCTTAAAAATGTGTTTGTTTGCAAGACTTTCCCGTGATAAAGTTTGCATTTGCTTGCAAATATTTTGCATTCTCCTGAGAAACTTTGTGTTCACTTGCAAAACCATTGTGCTCCCCATTAAAGTTTGTATTCTTTCACAAATATTTTTCTTTCTCCTGAGAAACTTTGCATGCCCTTGCAAAATAGGAATAATAGAAATAATATGAGGTGGAAGAAAAACAGTGCTCAGCGAAGCTTATACATTAACGAGAGAATACAAACATTTTGTGAATGCAAAGTTCCTTAGGGGAATGCAATACCTTTGCAAAAGAATGCAAGTTTTGTGAGCGAATGCGAAAACTTCAAAATATAATATTGTTTCTCATCTCCGTGTCCATATATAGGCTCCATATTCTGGTCACGTTTATTTTTAACAAAAAAATACCATTTATTACAACAAAACTATTTTGAATGTTTATCCTTAACTACATTTTGTCATATGAAAAACCAGTAAATAATTTAACTCTTTAGGTCATATCTGTCAATCATTTTCACTGATTCACTCAAAAGAATCAGTTCATAAGAGTCATTTGTTCCTGAATTGGACTATACTGGACTATGAGGACAATGCAATAGAAATGTGGACTCTCTATTTGTTTTTATATTTAGACATTCAAGAACAGTTAGCTAAACCAAACATCAAGAATATTAGAAGAAAAAACAGTTCTCGATTCACAACCTTAGGTGGAGAAAATATCTTCAGCTCAGTACAAAAAAAAAAAAATTGAAGTGAACGAAAAAGTCTTTACCATGATATTAACGTAAAAGTGTGCGTGTTTGCTTTAGTTTCTCTATTTGAACTTGCTTGGTAGGTCACCGGTAGTGATAATGTCAAGCTACAAGTTTCCCAGTGTATGTGGATATTTGCGCAGGTGTGTATTTGTGTAGGTGTGTGTTTTGCACTAATGTATTAGCAGTATTAATGTGTAATCTGATCTCTGATCTGGACTGAACATGGATTACAGGACTCGGGTCAGGCGCTACAAACAAGCCCAGCACTCAATCCAACTCTCCCTCTGTTTCTATCTGTAAATCTTCCGTCTTTTAACAAATGGACTGTCAGGCCAGTGTCCAGGTCAAGGACAACTGATACTCATTATTATATACGCAGTCCATCTTTGTCAAGGCTCGTCATGCTTAGATCGCTAATAACAGTTGCCATCATTTTCCTTACAGTGACACGGACGTCACACATCCAGCCGTCCATTAATTTTTTTTTAAGTGAACGAAAAAGTCTTTACCATGATATTAAAGTAAAAGTGTGCGTGTTTGGTTCAAATAGAGAAACTTTAGTTTCTCTATTTGAACTTGCTTGGTAGGTCACCGGTAGTGATAATGTCAAGCTACAAGTTTCCCAGTGTATGTGGATATTTGCGCAGGTGTGTATTTGTGTAGGTGTGTGTGTTTTGCACTAATGTATTAGCAGTATTAATGTGTAATCTGATCTCTGATCTGGACTGAACATGGATTACAGGACTCGGGTCAGGCGCTACAAACAAGCCCAGCACTCAATCCAACTCTCCCTCTGTTTCTATCTGTAAATCTTCCGTCTTTTAACAAATGGACTGTCAGGCCAGTGTCCAGGTCAAGGACAACTGATACTCATTATTATATACGCAGTCCATCTTTGTCAAGGCTCGTCATGCTTAGATCGCTAATAACAGTTGCCATCATTTTCCTTACAGTGACACGGACGTCACACATCCAGCCGTCCATTAAATTCTCCCACACACACTCATGTTCCCTCTCCCTCGCTCTGCTCTGACACGGTCATCTATCAGTGATCCATAATTCACTCTTTTCTAATATCACATATAGAACTACTGTCCAC